ACACACACACACACACACACACACACACACACACACACACACACACACACACACACACACAGTGATACTCTGGCTGTGGGAAGAAAAACAAACTTAGATTATCTCTGGACTGTTTGTGGTGTTTCCTTCTGATCGAACGTCACGACAGAAAAGGAGGAGGAAGAAGGGAAGAGGAGGAAGACAGCCTTCCTGATTCATTCATACCACACAGACACACGCATGAGTCAAAACAGCGTCTTCGTCAACTCACGTGGAGGAGAATCTTCGTTGGTGTGAAATGAATTTATAGACTGAAGATGGGGTAGCAGATGAGTTCATGTCGAGTCAGACCTGACATCCGGATGCCCCCTGCTGCTGAGACACAGGTGTGACAGGATTCTGCTCACCTGGACTGTGTCTTCTTCACCTGTTGCTCCTTTTAACATGGACCCAGAGTCCGAGCTGAAGTTAGCTAACCCTAACCCTTCTAGAACATCTGTCTACATGAATCCCAATGTTAGGAATGTGAAGGAAAACTGGACCCAGTAACCCACAAAACCACTAAGAATTTGAAGAAGGTTCACCTGAAAGTTTCACATGTAAAACTTAGTCCTGACAAACCTTAAGACCTTCTGGAGACACGTTTTCCAAAACAGCTTACTTTGAACAAAATATTCAGCAATCCTAAAGGACAAGATGAGCTGCAGCTGTTGTCATCAAACACAAACCCAGTTGGTGCAGAATTAAGGTTAGCCGATAATGACCTTTACTCAACCTCAACCTCCTTCACAACCACACCAAAATGTGTGACTGTCTCCAACCAGACAAAGAAGAAAACACACAAAATGTGTGACTACTGTCTACAACCAGACAAAGAAGAAAAGACACAAAATGTGTGACTGTCTACAACCAGACAAAGAAGAAAAGACACAAAATGTGTGACTGTCTACAACCAGACAAAGAAGAAAACACACAAAATGTGTGACTGTCTACAACCAGACAAAGAAGAAAACACACAAAATGTGTGACTACTGTCTACAACCAGACAAAGAAGAAAAGACACACAAAATGTGTGACTACTGTCTACAACCAGACAAAGAAGAAAAGACACAAAATGTGTGACTACTGTCTACAACCAGACAAAGAGGAAAAGACACACAAAATGTGTGACTGTCTACAACCAGACAAAGAGGAAAAGACACACAAAATGTGTGACTGTCTCCAACCAGACAAAGAAGAAAACACACGTAGAGGAGGGAAGCAGCGACACAGACAGAGGTACAGGAAGAGAAACAAGTCAAGAAATAATTTGTGTTGCAGAAAGACAATAACTGCAGCTGACTGTGGTTTGTTAATAAGCAACGTTTGTATATTTTATTATTAGCTGAGATATGAAAAGAAAAATACCATCAAATACTGTGATACCAGTATAACTGCTGAAAATACTCTGATTTAAAATTGGGTCAATTTGTATTACAGGCGGGCAGCACGGTGGCTCAGTTGGTAGAGCTGATGCCTCTCAGCAAGAAGGTCACCGGTTCAAATCTCGGTCCGGGGAC